AGAAATGAAAGGTAATAATAGATTTTTCATAAATTTAGTAATATTTATTGTACAATATAATTTCCGTCGTTACTTATGACCTCTTGCCAGCGTGATGGCAATTTGTGAGTAACATTTTTCAAAAATATATGCCTCAAATGAACATGTGCATACCAATCGAAATTTGCAATGACATTATCGGACAGAACTTTCCGGTAGACCTAATATAAGCTACGGCCGAATCAGTTGTGGTAGCGCCAGTTGAGTGAAATTATTTTTCGCAAGTAATCGATAGGTTTACGCTTTTTAATAAAACGAGAAACTTGGAAAGATATCAAACGATTAGTTTTCTATAACAATTTTTAAACGATATCAACAGATAGGCCACCCTATAGTATACCTAATTAAAATTTATACAAAAATTTATTTGAAACGTAAAAATTCATGAAAAACGTTTTAGATTAGCCAGTTCTGCTATCGTAGTTCATAAAAGCATCAGCAACTTAAAAAGAAATCCTAAAATGAAACGCTGTTGTGGTTAGGAACAAATTTCAAAGTTTATAGTACGGGTGATCCAGTGTTATTTTATTCGAGTGCAGAAGATGAATAGCTATGCTTTGGTTTTGCTGCGGTTCGACAATCGGATTGGCCAGCGGCTGCCTTGCAGTCCTCAGATAGCAAAGAGGAATTTGTCTAAGGGATTTCATTCAATTTATTTTACTCCGTTTTCAGAGCCGAATGTACGGCGTAAACTAGCCTGAGCGGACCTACGGACAGTTGAAAAGTGTACCGAAGAAACTCTTTGCGGTCTATTAAACCACGAGAAATTCTCCACGTCGAAAGAATCGATCCGGCATGAGGTTCAATCAGTCTACATAACACGCATTTCTAGATGAATTATCCTCTATTCACCTCATATTTAGTGGGAAACTGGTGGAGATGGAGAAAAGTTTGTTCGTTGCAACGTCTCGAAAATGTTGCTTCATCAATCAACTTCTATCATGCTTTCTTTGTATCGAAGAAAAAAAAGAAGAACTTATCACGACGTCACTTTTTTTCGATTTTACATGTTCTCTCGAATAATAATTAACTTCTGCAATTAAATATCACGTTTCACTCATAGAATTCATATGGTTCCGAATCTACACGTGCATCAAACCAATAGACTAGCACGAAACTTTACGATAATTAAATTTTGACCACGGTTGGTGAGAGAAATGGACTATTTGTTTAGTAGAGACACATCGGGGTGTCTATCAGAATTGAGGCATCAATCTTCGGTTGGCAAACAAAATTCGATTTCCGTTAGTGAGTACTATTCGCGACGGGGACATTCGTCACAATTTCCGTTGTAAAAATCCGAGGCAATGCGCGTTAGCACGTGAAATTTTAATGAAACGCTAACCATTCCGCGTCATCGAGCAAGCACCGTGTCCACTCGTCTCGCGAATCATCTGTATCCGTCACGGGCCGTGCGGTCGCGTTATAAACGGTTTCACAAACGCAAAAACGGACAAAATAAATTACGGTTTTCCGCTCGAAGGCCTAGCAAGCGTGGCGTGCTGTTTACAGCGATAAATTTTGGCACATTCGGAGAACAGTGCGCGAGCCTCGTACACGAATTCTCCAGATAAACCTTCCGAAATTCCGCCGTTTCTCGTTCTGGGGCTAGTGAGAAATATTGAATATACCTTTGAAACACGGTTATACAAGCAGCCAACGATAAAAATTTTCATCGGACCTAAGAATCCCTTTGGCGCTTTTTTATTCACGGCTTTCCTTTGAGAAGGAAAGTTTGCGCATGTGCGCAGGATGCTTTGCACACCTCGTTCAAACGAATAGACAAACTTTTAATTAGTTCCGAATGTTTCTCTTTCATTGGGGACAAATGTTTTACATTTTTAATTCATTCAGATTCTCTGCCTGTTTCCTTAAAAGACATGGTAATTTCGTTAATACTCGTACCTAATTATGGCATATTCGTTGACGTAAGGATTTATCAAAGAGAATGTTATAAACAAAGAGAATGTTGTCTGTCTATGGGTTATGGCGAAGTTTTAATCAGAAGGGAGCAAAAGTTATTAATTTCTCTTGATAATTGCAAATATTGATACGAATGAAATTTTTAAAAATTATTCAACAGCTAGAAGAATACAAAAATATATAGTATTAATTATACCGAGTGGGAGAAAATGTAAGGGGCAAAACGTAAATACAGACAACTATTGAATCGTCAAATTTTACAAGTGCGTCAAGTTTTGAGTTAGGTGTTGTTCTCTGCAAGCCTATAAGATGGTTATTTAATTCGTTTGAAATTACAATATTATCGAATGATTTGTTATAAATATATCTTTCTTAATCGCAGTAACTGCAAAATCCGAGGACAAAAATCGATCACTTCATGTTCCACTTTGGTTCTTCCACAGATGAGAATTGTGAAAAAGGAATTTTAAACTTCGGAAATGTAATTTGCGTAGAAGAGAAATGCTTCCGCCCGACAAAAGTTCGGTATCCGAAAAATTCACGGCGCTTCGGGCTGAAAATAAGAAAATTTATCGCGGCGCGATCTGTGTCACGCAATCCTTTCCATAGGAGACGGTTCTCGTCGCGTCGTCTGGAATCGGCTCACGTGCCGATCTAGGAATTGAATATGGACCGTTGGAATTTTTTCTGGTCATTGCTACGTCGCCCGGTGACCGATGCACACTCGTCTCTCGTTGCCAACGTTCACTCGCTGCCCACCACGCTGGACGAATTCGTCGACTCGAATAATTCGCCGACAAAAACGGCCCCCTTGATGCGCCTGTTCGCATTAATTCACGGTAATTTCCGGGTCCACCAGTAATGAAGCTCGTGGAGACGTGCATGCGACACTCAGCCCGAAGTTCATTTCGCAAATTTTCACAGTAACCATTATTTATGGCAGCCAGATTGGCAATTACGCTTGCCCCGCGAGTACATGAATTACACTGTGCACGATTTCGAATGATAAATGCGAATTACATGGCTATGAATACAATTCTTGAGTATCGTTTCAATACAGAAACTATTTTACATTACGTGCAATCAAAAACCATGCATTTGTAGTCCTTCATGACGATCTATGCGATTTTAATTCATGTACATATATTGTTGTTCTAAATGTTTCATCGCGTATACGGATATCGTAATTTTGGTATTCGATTAATATCGATTTAAAAGTACGCTAATAAATGTGTACGCATTATTTACATGTCGTGCAATGATATGCAAAATTGTGAAACACACATGATATTTAGTTGAATAATTATGTACGATAATTATATTTTACTATTACAACACACTGTGACATCAAGTGATCATAATGCCATTTAAATAAGATAGGATAAAGTTTCTTTATTGAAAGATGAAGAAGTTGATTCATAAGTGATTCACTATTATTAGATTGAAAAATCGTGTCTACCGATTCACTGAACACCTTGTATAACATTATACATATATTAAACTATGTATTACATGTAATCAGAAACGATGACAGGTGAATACATACTTTCTTCATAATTCGAAATAGGAATCACTCAGAATAACAACTTTTAAATGTATATGTATGCAGTCTTCAAATAATCTACTACGTTTTCAATGTTTATGTATCGCTTTGTACAAGGCGAACGATTTCGCATGTTTTACGACAGAAGGCATGAAACACTGAACATTTTTCAGAAGGTATCCAAGTTCTACTCTGTAATCCGTCGAAGTAACGCAGTTCAACACTTTATTTTGTAACACCTTGCGCACTAAACTTCTGGTTGATCGGCTGTATTGGAGCGCATTTGTCAGGGCAGCTGCTTCGTCACGTTCCCTGCCATTGTCATTGGCGACAAAACTTTTTTCGACCAAATAGATACTAAAAAAGTGAACGTACCGCTCAATCGCTATGCGTCGCTGGAACAAACGCAAATAGCTGTTGAGAGTATAATATCAAGCGGATTTTAAGTTAACACTCGAACGGCGGACTCGGGTTTCATTCGGACATAGACTGGAAAAATTGATATTTGAATGTCTGATTTCAATGTTCATATGTTTCGTTAAAGCCTATAGAAAAACTAACTTATCTAGAAGGAATACCATAAAAAAATATGTTTGAAAAAAAATTGATAAATAGAAAGATAAATGTTTTTAAGTGCTCCCAGTTATTTTTTTATCAGAAAGATCCGCCGTTCAAGGGTTAACCGGAGTTCAAACTGTCTTGAATTAACGCCGCGTGAACTTCGCGAGATAACGTTGTCGCGTGCATTTCGCATTATTTAACAGGGAATGTGATTTACCCGCGGCTGTTGCGTAGCGGACGCGTCTTCGCGCTCTGAAGCGGACGCGAATTCTAACTCGCAAGTTCAGCCCGGTTGTTCATCCTTTGTTCATTCGTTTCCAGGTAAATGCATAGGAGCGTGAGGTGTCGCGGTTCGCGGGTGTAAATTGGTGCGGTGGTGTTAGTGCAAAGGGCCAACGGGAGGCCGCCACGGTGGGTTTTCGAGATGAGCTATGAATTTGGGCTGCCTCGTAGCCACTGTCTTCGTGCTCCAGCTCCTTCGGCTGCCGATCGATGTCGCAGCGTTGCCCTCAGTTGTCAAGATTGGTGAGTCAATTGAATATCCTTCGCACGTTCAAATCCATCCTACTACAGAACTAACTCTGCGTGTTTGCGAACCCGTACAATCCAAAAATGATGAAACTTTGCACAGGAGTAGACTAATATGCAACCATATTTATCGTTAACACTGATACCCGGCTTAAAGACGTAAAAACAGCCCTTGGAAATTCAATACCTTACAAAATAATCAAATAATATTTACAAAATATTTATTGACCGTTGTCTAGACACAATAAAACAATGCTATTTTACTACCACTTTAAACCGCGTAGCAGCATCAAAAAGTGAAGATACATTCGGTATAACTTATTCTACTCGTGTGCAAAGTTTTATAATCTTTTAATTTTACAGGTTCATAATCGTTGTAAGTTCCGTGAACTTATACAGCTATGCCGCTTGATCTTGCTATTACTTCAGATTTTGTTGAGGTTACACTGTTTTCATGTAAAATGGTCGACAAATTTTAATTTCTGTAACATGCTTATCTTCTCTAATTTAACGAACGTTTCTATTTCAATGTATTCGTATGTAAGTGATGAATATGGACGTTCATAAAATTTTAATTAAAAGGAAGTATTGTTAAACATTGCATGATTGTTTTCCTTATCAGCGTATGACTTATTTTAAACATCTAGCCATAGACGATCCAGAATTTGTTTCCCAGATCGCAGGTTTTCCGTATTTCACTTGTCTAACCATGCATGCTCCCCATTTCGCTGACTTAAGCATACGTAGTAGTTCAGTCTCCCCGTTCTACTAATCAGAGTGTAGGTTAAACCCATTCTATTTGTCTGACTATACAGAATTCCTATTCTACAGATCTCAGTATACGTTGCCCCAACGTCACTTGTCTGACGATACAAGACGCCTATTTCACTAATCTGAGCACAGATCGTCTCTATTCTACTTGTCTGACTACACGCAATCGCTATGTCACTGATTTTCAGCGTAAGTTGCTCCCTATTTCACTTGTTTGACTTCGCATTTTTCTAATGTATTTGATCTGTTAATTCTGTAAAACTTGTGTGTATGTGACCTATGCATCAAGAAAAAGATTCAATGTTTTTGATACTCTGTTTTTTGTTATTTAACGATAATTACTAAGTACATTATATTTTCCCACCTCGTGCCAGGGATAGCATACGAGTTTGTTTTGTAAAAGAGTAATAGAAGCTTCTTCAATATTTTAGACAAAACGTGTAGAATCTAACCGCTGTATATAAGATATCTTTTATTATTACAGTTATCTGACTTTCAATGTATGCGCGTTTCTCATTTGAATAAAACAATAAATTGACAATGAAGCAAATTTATCATTCCGAAAGACAAATTTTAATAGTTGTGTGCGATAATGTATATTATGAGGATTGAATATTCATCTACACTTCATTCAATGTTAAAATATTTGACTGCATCCCGAATAAAACTGTACACACATTGAATAATGCAGAGATAATAAATAAACTGTACCACAAGCTTTCCAAACGGGAGAAGGTTACATAAGATAAGAAGCATGAAATTTAAGTGACGAATCACGTTCACTCAAGCGGATGCCTCTCCTCGGAACACCAGAGATACCGCGAAGTCCAAAAGTTTCAGAGTTCTCCGTAAATTGAACTTTTCCCAAATTCTACTCGACAACAGAGCACCACCGTCGCCGTCGTTCACAGCGTGTGCGAACAACTCCCCGATTGTTAAGATTCCCAGGAAACCGTGAAAAATAAAGCTCAGTGTTTAGTATTCCGGCAATCACAAAGTTAAAGCATAATTCGATGAATTGAACTTCTTAATTCAATCCCTGGAAGTTACGAGCGAGACAGCTCCCTCGCTCCTTTGAGTAATTGTTGAGTAATTGGTTCGTGACCGTGTTTTCCGCGACGCAGCTTCAGCATCGACAGCGCCATTAAAATTGAATATTGGCGACGAATTTTCCCCGCATCCTCCTGTCGCTTGAACAATGGTAGGGGACATCATCTGCGAGCAACCATGAATTATTGAGCATAACACACAGGGCTGAAGATAGGTTCGCGTTCCTGGCGACACAGCAACCGATGCATCGAGCAGCTGCATCGTCTCCCTCCTATAAAATTCGATGTACTCCAATATTTTCCGCGCAACTAGTCCGGTGACCCGTTTACTTGGCCAGCTTACGTCGGCGGAAGTTTCTCCGAAAATTTCGTGTTCGTGTCGAGTTCCGTCGGAATCCGGCGCGGCCAACTTTCGAACGTCGAAAGACGTCGAGCACCTTGCATGTTCCATTTGCGTTCAAAATATTATCGACGAGAGAGGAAACGCTGGATCCAAGCAGATAATATTTTTCTGACAAGTTTCCACGCTATGTCACAACCGAGCATCGTTGCGCGCTGTTATTTGCCCGCTTAGAAAAACTCGCAGCTAGCACCGCGATCATTGCGATGTTTTGGCGACTCCAAGAATGCGCGGCAATAGATCGCCTCGTGGAACAGGTTGTCGATGCGTCGTTCCGTTTCCTCACTGCAACGTAAGCGCCGTTTTCACAGTCGTTTCTTTCGACGAGCATGTTGTCTTTCCCCGGTTGGCCTGTTGCGATGCCAAATTGGCCGCGCAATTTGCGTGACTACGCCGCCACCGTTTCAGCGACAGTGTACAACCTTTGAGATGGTCGCCTTTTACCGCAACAGTGTTGAAGTCGCCGAGTAAACCGGAAACTCGGTTAATGGACCATTTCGGAGACAGTCGATAACGAACATTGGTCCCCGCATAGCGCTCGAACACGCTCGCTACCCTGATTCCATTAGGGAAAATATGTACGTAGATTGGAAAAAGGTCGATAACTTCCTTTAGGTTACACTTACAGGATTTGGTTTAGGCTCCGATTGAGCTGAGTAAACGAAATATCCATTGTTTCGAGCGTGGCGTTATTTCGCACGATTTTTTGAATCCGTCTCGAAGGACCAATGTGTCGCTCGTATTTTGAAATGACCGTCAACTATCGCCTGCAGGAGCCGAGAGAGTGGCCGTGAACAGTGGCTGACATGAGCCTGTTTGGAAGTTCCATGGTGAAGCGTGTCTGTCGTGCTTCTTGTGCGTTTCATATCGTATCCTATCATATCTGCATCTAATCTGTACCTGCCCAAGATCTTCTAGCCCATCTTCCACATCGACTACCAATCCCTATCCTTTGAAGTTTTCAGTGCGATGAGAACTCCCACCAGCCAATACGGATATTGGTCAAAACGCCGCCCATCAGGTTGTTGTAAAAAATGGAAAGTTTGGGGCCTCGGGTTTTTTCCAATTCCGTTGGTCTGCCTGGAGTCCATGTATACACCACATGTTCCAAGGGCTGGTCAGGAGAAACCCCAGCGGTCCAACCTAGAGTCTTTCCTGTCGATGGTGAAGATGAGCTTAATTACCGAGACGGACTCTTGAGCTTAAAAAATACCTACAGAGTCCCGTCCGTCCATAAAAGTAATCCTAGGTTTCTAAGCATTTAGAATTCTAAACATCCATTTAACAAAAAATAATGCAATTTTCGACCGCGCATGCATCATTGTAGTTCGCAAAAATGTATCATTCTATTGGGTTCCTTGATCCATTCATCTTCCTTGCTCGACACTTTTCTGGTTATGAAAACAAAAACTTTGCGTCATGTTGAAACTGAAAGTCTTAAATGAAGTTCTAGTATCTGTTCTATCGATTTGACGAGAATAATAATTGTCATTGGTATGAAGAATTTAGGTAAAATCTGGATGACAAGCTTTATGTGAAAATTTATCCTTCCATTGACACCGTTTGATCAGCTAATTCGCAAATCCTGAAATTTCATCGTAATTGATATACTATAATTGCGTGTCCCGTTAATGTCTCTCATTTTACTTTCCAACATAAAGACCCAACCCATTCAGAATCGAACGAGTTGGAGAAAAAAAATAACACTGCCCGACACGATTTTTGGGTTCCTATAGCCACTATGAAATTCTTGTAGAGCTTCACTCCCTGAACAAGAATCCGAAAACCGAATTCCTCCGTCACCCTCAGTTTTTTAAATAAACGAACTTTTGTAAAAACCCAAAATTTTCGACAAAAATGAGGTAACTGCATGAAAAGTACACACACACACACACACACACACACACACACACACACACACACACACACACAAACGTTAGAAAGTTCTAATTGATGTTAAAAGATAGAGGAGAGTTTCCCGAATATAGTGGCATGCAATTTATTAATTGTTTTTGGTCCTAAATAGCAATAAATTAATGTCAAAGTTTAAAAATGTGTCGACGTGAGCAGTTTCTGCGCAATATTTTTGTATTTTTACGAAAAATTTTTTGTTCATCACGAAAACTCTACCCAGGATCGGATTCTGTAGACATTTCTGAAGATGAAACGGCCCGGTAAAAGTGTCGGAACGATATACATTTCGAGTAGATCGAGAAAATGTTCGACGGCAACGTGTACACGACGTTTTGCCGCCATGAGCTTCGCTGCTCGCTTCTCTCTGAAGGGTGATGGAGCAATTTGGTTTTCGGATTCTTGTTCAGGGAGTGAAGCTCTACAAGAATTTCATAGTGGCTATAGGAACCCAGAAAAAAAAGTTTGATTTTGTCGGACAGTGTAATCGGTAATACCTCAAGCTGCCAATACATTCTACTTGATAAACATGTATGTTCTTCAAAGTTTACGTCGACTGCAACCGTTTCCGATTAATACCATCTCGACTGACCGAGTTCAGACTAGGTCTGAACCTAGTTTCACCAAGTCCTTGCCTGACGACGAATTGTCGATGCGACATTGGACATTGTGGTTCACACGAATATTCTCATACTCCGACATTACTTCTCTCGTCTCTAACCACAATATCTCTGAAACGTCGCAAAACTTTTCCACACCTCCCAAAAATGTATCGGCACGATTCGCTTGCTCGTAAAGTCTAAAGGAACAAGCAGCTTTCTAGTGCATCGGTGGAAACTCGTTTTTTCTGTCTGAAAGTGTAAAAC